TTTTTATCTACTTTTACAACAAATATGTTGTGCCATCTCTAGTGGTAATGAGTTCATTGTCACAAAAATGATCCAATCCAATATTTTTTCCCTTACCAGTCACTTTGTCTGATGACGTATTAGTGATAATGCGTTTGATATAAAGAAGCACCATTCTATTGGAGGCTACCTACGTTCGATTATTCTATCCAATGTGCCTAATACACATTGCTATACCTCGGTCACAGTATATGTGTATGAACATTATAGACGAGAAAAATAGCTTATGGGTAGCCTTTGTACAATATTCATATTAAATCGAGTTATAGATTCACCATATGAGACGATATTCATACATATATAGATATTCATTTTATTACTTCTTATTGTGTTTAGATTGAAAATAATAATGACCGAATTCATGACGAAACATGTCGTCGACTCTACTGGTAAATATTGTGTCTCTTACCTCACTCATAAAGAGATCGAATGACTTCTCTGAGAGAAATTCTTGAATATTCACCAAGTCCTATTTTCTTCTATTCATTCATTAGGATTGACTTCATCTTCAACATCACCAGTAACCCATTGTCAAGATTGTGTAACAACCCTTCTCGATGTACCGAACGAGATTCTACTTACCATTTGCCGTTATATGACCCCGTGTGATGTGCTTCGTTCTTTCTACACGCCTGAAACACCTCATTATCATCTTCATCATTTGATTCATGTTTATTACACAAAAATTAAACTCACTACAGTAACGTTTGAAGACTGCTGCTACTTATTCAAGCTGTTTCTTGATTCACATCATCCTCTTCGACCTCAATCATTGACACTAAGTGATGAATACGTATCCTGTCAAACAAGCCATTTTTACTCAGATCTTCCTACGAAAACAATGGAATCGATAGTTCTCAATTTAACATATCTTAAAATTATTATTGCATCTGAAAGTAACAAGTGTATCATCAGCCAGCTCTATACGAATATGAAACAAGTCGAACATCTTCATGTAACTATTCTTGGCATTAAGGAAGGAATAAGTAAGTCTGATGAAAATATATGTAAAAGACATATTAATATTGAACACTGACATTTTGAAGAACAAGTTCTATATAATTTTAGCGTTTTTCAAAAACAATTTGAAACATTGCTTTACGCTGAAAAATCGAAAAGTAATGAGAAAAAAAAAGAAAGAAATATTTTCAACAAATTTTTGAATTTGTTGCATAAAATATACGAGAAACTGATGTTTTCCAAACTTGATTTCTCAATGTTGGATCTCTTAAGTCAAAACCTACTAACAATGGGTGAGCTCGATGGATTTTTTATTTTGCTGACTCTTAGTTTTTATCACAAGTCTTAGCCAACGAAATCATAAAAAATCTTTGACAGTATAAAAATCTCAAAGATTATTGATATGAACTGCAAGATTCAAATGGTTCATATGAAACCATACAATTTTCAATGGAAAAGAATATTTTTCACAAATTGAGCTAAATTTCTAGAGACGATGCAAGTTAGAAATCATATTTGAATTCAAAGTTTCAATGACTTTTGATGACTTAACGTAGGCCTATTAGCCCTCACTTGTTTAAGCAGTCGAAAAATTCAATGCTGCTGTATTGAGAAGTGTAAGTATGATGTTTATTGATGTCAAAGAAGAGGACATCTTTTTTCGTTTTGTGAGATCTTGTCATTATGATTTGGTGAAAAGGAAATAAATAATTTTCAGTTATTCTAATTCGAAATTCATTGATGCGAAAATGAGTAACATTCAGATATAAGGTACTGTTTATGATACGAAAAACTAAATATAAATTATCATGTGCACCTAAAGTCAAAAAGCCGTGAAGTTCTCTTTTGATCAAAAATTCGTTCCTGTTTTCATTGAATATGACAACAAAGTAATTTATCATTATGACTATTTCGATCGAAAAAGTAGCATCGATTTTTTTTGAAATATTATTAAACTAATGTACAAAATCTATATCGAACATTTGTAATGAACAAAAACTATAATCATCTTTCTTAATTTTTTCTACACAGATTCATGGAACAAAATTTTCCATCGGTTACTGTTCAATGACAATAGGCGTGCTCTGCGTACAGTCACAATCGAACAGTCTAAAGGTCTTCTATTGTGTAAAACGTTGACTGCTCATCAAGGTCTTCAACATGTTAATCTTGTCCTACAAACGATTGACGATTTGTTTGTATTACTTGGTGGACTAGTACCAAACGTACAAACAATGACTATTCAATTGCGACAACCAAGACTATTGAGTAAGTATATGTGAAATCTTGTCGATACTTAGAATTTACTGCAATATTTTTCTTTCAAAAAGTAAATACAGAACGACGATCTGAAAATGGACTGTTAGAACTTGCGAATCTATTCATATTGGTAATAAGCTTCATAGAACAAATCTCAGAATTGAAAAATTAACTTGCACCTACTTTGATTCAATTGCAGTTTTTATACGATTACTTTTTGCCTGTCAAAGTTTTTGAATATTTTATTTTTTATAAGAAATTTTGATGACAGTATAAATGGTTAAATGATGAGATCGTCTATGTGCTTCAGACTAATGTGAATTTAAAATAAGATCAGCATTCATTCCCTCATCAAGTTCTAATAAAATGTTGTGGATTAATTCGATGCTTCGAAAAAATTATTACATTATTTCGCTATTTGAAATCATTAATCATACTTTTTTGCATAAATAACACGCCCTATAGCTTATACAAAAAGAGATAAATGGACAAAAATAATAGAAAAGCAAATGATAGTACGTAGTATGTTGCTTTTTGTAAGACATCATTGTTACTCAAATTTTGATATATTCGAGTTTCTATATTTTTTACAATTTTATCAAATTGAAATATTGTTTTCTCTTTGTATTATAGCCGGTCCTCGTCCTAAATGTACGTTTTTATGTTCTCACATGATCGAATTCAATTTAATAGATTCTGGAATCGGACTCTTGTTTGATGATGTCGAATCTGTACTGAGCTACATGCCAGCACTGCTTAAACTTACATTGAGCGTTCGTGATACACCTGATCATAGATTTTGCCATGGTCTCACTATGGAAACCATGTTAACTCAACACGCACTTCATCTACATACGTTTCATTATACGATGACACATCGAATCAGCGATCGAACATTGATCGAGTCTTTCACACGATGGCCAATGAATGTCGATTTTCATGAGAACGAAGATGTTAATTGGGTGCATATTTTTTCATTGCCATGGCCATGGGGCCGAGAAGACAAGCGACAAGTACCTATGTTATCGAGTGGACAAAATGCATCAGTCACGTTGAATGTCGAACAAGCCAAATACATGAATCATGAGCACATCACAATTCAGAATGAATTGTTCGAACTCAATACACGCTTCAGTCAGGCTTGTCAACTTACCACTTGTCAATCAATTGATAACAGATGGCCACGACGTATTTACAAGCTCGTTCTTAGTGAACAAGCGCGTAAGTATCTTTTGTCTTGAGTTTCATTAAGAAAAACAAACAATAAATGATTACAATATTTTATTCCTTTTTTTATTCTAGCTACATCGTTGATCAATCGGATTTCATCACAGCCTTTTATCCGTCATCTTATCATTCAACGTCGTTTGACTGATGAAACCGAAATACTTATTCTAGCTCGACAGTTTCCCAATGTTCGTTATTTACAACTATTGTTTCCACTCGACAGATCTGTATTTCTTCGCTGCTTCAAAACTCTTTTCAGTTACAATGATGATACATATGAAAAATTTTGTTTTTGGCCAGAACTGGTGAGTTTGCATACGATAGCCGATTATGCACAATTGTCGTCAAGTTGGTTCCTGTTCAATGCTGAGGATTACCTCATTGAGAACACCGATCTCAAGTTTCGTTCGCTTTCTTTTTGTGCCCATTATTCACATCCAGTGTTCTCGATTTGGCTCTGATTTTCTATACAAATGGCACATGAAATATTGACTACAAACTTATGTTTATTGATGATGACAGTAGAAAAAGATCAATCTATTCATATATATATTATTTTTTGATGTGAATAAAAAGTTCTTTTGTTTAAATTGAAGTATCTATTCAGTAAGAAGAACAAATGGGTGTGGATGTTGGTATCGGTGTGGGTGGTTGTGGATGTGAGGTGTGGGTGTGTGGGTGTGGGTGGAGTGCGGGTGTGGGTGGATGTGGGTATTCCTGAAGAACAGAACAACACCCACACCCATCTCTACCTGTTTTTTCTTCGATGTTGTCACTTGTCTTTGTTCGAGAACCAAAGTTGAAGATCGTTTTATTTTAAAACATGAGTTCGATGTTGAACAACTAGGGTGTGGGTGTGGGTGTGAGTGTGGGTGGGTGTGTGTGGGTGTGGGTGTGGGTGTGGGGTGTGGATATGGGTGTGAGTGTGGGTGTTTCAAACCTCTATATCTGCAGCCGAACCCACACCCACACCCGCCAATCATTAAAAACACTATCAACAGTTGATGCTTCGAATGGTGGTACAAGAACAAGTAAATGTTGCGTATTTTCAATCCATGATGGATCATAATAGATAATTATTTCGAAATTCGAAAGTATATCACCATGATCAGGTAAAGTTGAAACGATACATTTGACATTTTTTGAAAAAAAAATCGGTAACCATTCACAATCATATGCATCTGTTTCAAGTTGATCTATTGAATCAAGTAGTATGATCAGATATTCATTTTTAGGTATTTTCAAAAATAAATTTGTTTCTAATTGATATCGTAATTGAAGAATATCTGAACAGAGATCCATCGATAAATTATATAGTTTACAAATTTGTTGAGATATTGAAAGAAGTGTTTTGCGAATTGTTGATGAAGGACGTGTTGTTCTTTGTTAAACATGAAATTAGAATTATAAAACATAGAAACTAGTACAAAGATGATTTTACATTAGCACTGTTAGCCACTAGTCGTGACGGAACTACCGTGCTGCAATCTGATTGGCTTAGAGAAAAAGGTTTCAACCAATTAGATTTCAGCATGACTTTGCTTCACTAATGTAGGGATAAAACGTAGTGTTGTTCAAGCTGATCCATGAGTTACCTGAAGA